ACAAAATTTACTTATCAACTCCATTTCTATGTACTAGTAATCAATGGATAATTTGAACATTACCAATTTTAGCTTGTTTCCCATACAATATTTGAATGACAAAAAAATAAAGATCGATCAAGACATACAAAATATTAGCAGATACCCATGCTCTGCTATGGTTGAAATAGTTGGTATATATATTTTGGAACACTTTTTTTTTATTTCAATAAAACTGCCCATATACAATGCTTCCCCACCCCCAACAAATTTTTTTTCTGGTCCTTAAATTCTATTAGACCTTTTTGTCTTTATTCATCAAACAGCCCGCAATCACCTAATATAGTTTAGGCCCACGAGTTGTAGCCTTCTCAGCTACCTGTATCTTGATACCCCTTCTTGACACACACAATACACCCTCTCCCACAACACTTTTTTTCCATGTATCTTCTAATGCAGCGTTTCCCAAACTTTTGACCTATGTGTACCCCTTTTATAATTTTTGTAATGCTAAGTACCCCTCGCCCTACCCCCCACTCCCCCACCACACTTTAACTTATTAACAAAACATAATAAATGGGTATTTAAAAAAATCAGCATTAGTTAATGAGGTGCAATGCATACCCTCTCCAAAGTCTTCATGTGTTCCTGAGGGTACACATACCCCACTTTGTGAAACTGTTCTAATGGAATGGCTGACCCAACACAGACACAAACAAACCACACACTTCTTAGGCTCTTGAATTCTAAAACTCATAACTACAACACATTTCTGGTTAGTTTGAACTGAAACTAATTTAATGTTTTTATTCAGTGGAACAACCAGCATTACAATGATACTGCATAATTTTTTAGCATCCTCCAATACAAAAAAAGCACCACAACAATGATAAAACAATTAGGTTTACATCGACTTAGACACAAAAAAATTATAAGTATTCTAGATCAAACTTGAAGAATAAAAAGCTTAATTCATATTGTATTTCAAAACTTTGGCAAAAAAATTACTTATATCTAGATCTCTGAGATTTTATGGTATGATTTAACATTTTTTCTACTGTGGTGTTTCAGGTGCTACATTGAAAAAATTTGGGACATGTTTATTAATGTCTCCTGTTATTTACTATGTAGCGTTTTCCCAAGAAAGTAACACTATTGGTTTACTAAGTGGTATCAGATACCATTTAGTTTCCATTACATTAATAACGTTGCATAAACAAATTTAGTGCTTTTTGTCAAACACGTTTGAGGTGCTTATTCTGGGACACCAAAACCTATTTGACAGATTTAAAGAAAAACTACACTGTTTAAATTAATTAGTGATGCTTTTAGTAACAGAAACACACTAGGGAGCAGACTTTGTTTACAATTGATAGAGGTTTAAAATTCCAAGTTTACCTTTTAATGCACCTGTGACACATTTTTTATGATGACATCTATGTAATACTAAAATAAATATAAAATACAAAGATATAGATAATGATTATATTGTTAACCCATTTCAACAACAATGGCTGTTCAATATTCCTTGGTTTAAGTAGAATTATATTACTAACCCTTGTATCCCGTGTTACATCAAAAGATACCATTTTGTGTACTATTTCACACATTTTCTACAATTTTAAAATTACACTATGCATCTTTCAAGCTCAAAATATCACAATTTATTCATAAATCATTTCTAAATTTCATGAAATAAAAACTGACATTTCAATTTGAATATTTTTTTAGATATATACTTTTTAGTGAACCAATACATTTTGGTCACTAGTACTGGAGAAACACTCATAAAATTTATGTATGAATTAAATATTGATTCTTAGACACTACTGTTAAAAACTAACTAAGGATTGCATAATTATAATTATTATTATAGCTTTTATATAGCGCTACTTTCATGCTTATAGCATGCTCAGAGCGCTTTTGGTCCAATCTCATTTGTGGACCAGTGGGGGGAGTGAGTATCTAGGAGTTGGTTTTCCGTGCTGCCTTTAGGCGCTCAGTAAACACAACTCTGCCTGAGTCGGGTGTCGAACCTCGAGCCCCCTTCTAGGTAGCCAAGTTCAAGCGCACTTGGCCTCTTGACCACGCTTCCCACAGTCACAATTTTAAAGATTAATTTTTTTTTATCATTTTAAGTGTAATGAAATAAGTACACAAAATATCACATTTACTGGAGTATCATTCCAGTGGCTATAGTCATATTCATGCTTATTTTGTTATCCATCTAGGCTATTCTGATGGGGGCAGGAAGAATGAGCTAACATCCCAGTATTCACAAGCTTGTCTGAGAGTGGCCACTGAAATGGGAACAAAAAGTGTTGATATTTATACAGAGATGAGGAACAAAGAAGTGAGTTCAGTTCTCCTAAGTATCTATTGTAATCTCTCTAAGTATCTATTGTAATCTTTCTAAGTACCTATTGTAATCTTTCTAAGTATCTATTGTATAACCAATTTAATTTAAGAAAGAATATTTTTTTTGTCTAATTATTTTTAAAAAATGCAGGAAACCTTAGAAAACATTATTTAACCAATTAAATTTTAATTTTATTTAGAGAATAGAATGATGACCAATTAACTCTTATATTGAATGCAGCATTTACAGTATACTACTACTAATGACCTACCATGGGATATGAAGATTCTAGTTTTTTAGACTGTCACTTTACATAATAGTTCTCCTTCAGAACCAGAAGATAAACATGTAGCTAATTTTTTTAAAAGTGAAAACTGGATGTGTATAGTCCTCTTTTTTTAAATCAATTTTTACAATACCTCTAGTTTTTTATTTTTTATTATGTTTTTCTTATTTTAAATTAAAGTGCAAATACATCAGTGTTTATTCATCATCATCATTATCATCAAACTCCATTAGAGTGAGGGCTTGAGAGGCTCAAATCCTCTCTTGCAAAAGCCCTGGACAGAAACCCTGCTGTCTTGCGTAGTGCATAAATGTCGCCATACAGGTCGAGAATTTTGGGTTTCCCAGACCTGTGGAGACGGAGATCAGCAAGTCTGGGGCAGTCAAACAGAATATGAGGCACGGTTTCCTCTTCTTCCCCGCAGATGGGGCACCGTGAATCAAAATTTAGCCATAGCCGCGAGAAATATGAGCCAACAGGAAGGATAATGGCCTGTCCTGCACTGTGCTATAATAGCTTGCTCAGGCCTGGACAACCTCCACCATGGGAAAGTGCGGTCAGGGCGCCTCATGCACTCCCAGACTCCACTGGCTTTTTGGGACTTGTCCCAGCACTCAAACCACTTTTCCATTTCTGTTTTTTGTATTATAGCCAGGGCTTGATGAAAGCTTACAACCTGTTCAGTGGGTGGAATTTGCCCTCCCTGGAGGGCCAAACAGTCTGCAATAGTGTTGCCAGTCACACCTATGTGACTCGGTACCCACTGCATTATTACAGGGGTGCCATAGTTGTTTAATGTTATGTGAAGCCATGATGACAGTGTTGATATGGGGGGGGGGGCATGGTCCTGGGCTTTGCAAAGTTTGTATTACAGATTTTGAATCAGTGACCACAACAATCTGTGTTGCCCTCAAATGTCCCTTGCCGAGTTGAGAGTCAATGACTTTTAAGGCTTCACAGACTGCCATGGTCTCTGCATCAAAGTACTCAGAATTTGCAAACTGTTCCATTAAGAAAAAAAAGTTTGGAAAAAAACTGTTCTTAAGGTATCAGAAATATATATTTATATTACTTTTTATTCTATTGTTTTTTTTTAAATACATTAATATTATTAAAATTCCTTTTTTTTTTTTGTTTTCCTGAAGGATTTCTCAGAGTATTTAAGTGATGGCTTACACTTGTCTTCTAAAGGAAGTCACTTACTGTTTGAGTTATTGAAACCAATCATTACTCAGCTCACATCACATCTACCAGTTGTGTGGTTCCCATTTCATGACCATGTTGATATAGACAATTTAGAAAAAAGTTTGCTTTATAGTGAAAATCGATAAATTTCTGTGTTTATTTGATTTAATTACCTTATCTGGAAATTTAGGGTTGTGCTATTTTATGACCAAGCTATGTTTAATTTAAGTGACTTTGTTCTAGTGAGGTTTGACTAGAAATATATTGTGTAAACATTGTATATCAGACTTTGGCTACCAAAGCTGTTGAAATCTTTTCAAAAGTTTGTGTCTTTCAGTTCCTCAAAGAGATGATATGCCTGCAATTGTTTCAGTGTAGTTTGATCCCCTTGACTGCTAAGCTATTCAAAGCTTATGAAGGTGCTCTCTTACATAGTGAATGACTGTTGTATCTGTGATGGGCAGATTCCTTCTTTTTTAGTACATTTATGACCTGTAGCATTCAGCCTCATTCATCGGAAAATTGTTTATATCCTCTCTGCTTGATATCATTTAAAACACCACCACACTTTGAGACCCAGCAGGCCCAACAAACTAAGGGACAGAACAGACAGTATATTATGACTTTTTTCAACTAATCTCTGCATATTAATTGATATTATAAACCACTCAAATTTTTTATTAGTATTGTTAAGATTTTAAAAATAAATGTACATGTTGATCCGTAATTAAGATTTTGTTTTTTATTACTTGGTTTTGAAATTGATTTAGTTGGCAATTAATTCTAAATGAACTAGTTACTGTAAACCTCTTACAAGTGTATATATACATTAATCATATGTTGAAATAAATATTTACAAATGTTTTGTTGAAGTATTCAATGCTCAAAGATAATGTTGTTTTTATTTATGTAAATGTATAGAAGATTCTTAATTTAGTCTAGAATATAAAAAAGATCCCTTCATTAGGCATAATATGATGGTATAATAATTCTTTTTAAACATGTAACTATTACTGCATCCACATTAATAACTTCAACTTCACATTATGGATGGAGTTTTGTTTTTTTCTTAGAGAAAAATAAGAAATTTAGGGTTTAAGAATTTAAATGTTTACATTTTGAATATGGTATGGCTTCTTTTTTAATATTTCATCACAATTATCATCCTGAGAAAGAAATAATTCTAAATCCTTTTTTAATGTGCATACTTTTTTATTTTATTATAATAAATGAATGATACACTAAGACTTCAATACAACAAACAAAAAATACTGTAAAATATTTAAATTTGAGTTGTTATTAGCAAAGCTGTTTTAGTGACATCTGCACTACTAGATGACAACAGTATTTGATGAACTGACAAGTATAACCTTTATGGCCTGGTTCCATGTTGAACAGAAACTAGAGCACTCATTATGATGCAGCATTTTGGTTTTTAGTTTGGTCAGATATCTAGAATTCTTAACAAAGCATTTTTTGTAGACAAGAGTAAGGACTAGTTAGTAATCAGTACTGATATTCAAGTTAACGATTTTTTAAAATGTTGAAAAGTCCTTGACCTTCATACAAAGTAGAAACATAAAAATCAACTGAGGAATGAGACTTTTTAAACTTAAAAAAAAAATCTCTGAATTTTATAGATTCACCATTTTTTATATTTTGATTGTCCTGTTTTTGTTTTTAACTTTAACTGTTAGGAAAGAAGTATGTTTCAATAACTTTCAATCTATTTAACAAATTCTATCAACACTCATATGTTTTATATATGCATACAATTAGGAGCTTAGGTATTAATTAGTTTGAATCAAATGGTTTCTTAACAGCAAAATGTTCTCTGTGAATTTCATGACAACCAACCCCTAAGCTGAGCTTATAACTATAGCATTATCAATTCTGTTTTGTCCTATTTTTTTCTGATCTATAGGCAAAACAAGACTGAAGAAATGAAAATGGTGTCTCATATTTTACAGTAACAATGTTCTACCAAAAGCAATATATGCATTGTTTGATGCTTTTATTGTAATTGAAGAGTTGATTCTTTTTCTTTTCTTATTCACCCTAATGGGCTTTGAGAGCTAAGATTTGATTTGCCAAGATCTTTAATATTTATAGCCCAATATATAATTTTTAAATTAAATGACACATTGAAATATTTTAAAAGATTTACATAAAATAAAATGAAGATAAAAATCTGGATAGGGAAACAAAATCTTGATTAATTTTGTAATATGGGTCCATACTTTCAATTTATTCTCTAATGTTTATTTAATTGAAAGCCTCCCAAAATTTCACTATTAGGTTCAGTTTTGAGAAGCCTAAAATTCTTATACAATAAAAGACATTTATTGAGCTAATAATATATCATCTTATACAATATAGAAGTAACTTCTAAAAAGATGATGGTTACATCCTACCCTTGTGTTCCTAGGTCAATCTAGTCATGCATGTTAATCAATAACTTAAATCTGCCAAGTCATTGGTTTTCCATGCTGGCAACTCATTCCCTGCTCTAACTGCACTAGGGAAGAAGAGGAGCATTTGTACAATTTGTCCTAGCATATGGAGACTGATAACTTCTATGTCTTCAAATCTACAGTAATAATAAATCCAACCAACTGTACACTGCTAACAAAAGCCTACACTTCATTAAAAAAACAATTTCTAATAAACACATGCACACACACACACACAAAGCATATCTTGCCTATGTCTACTTTGTTAATATATTTTATTTTGTAATAATACAGGCTAATAATGCTTAAATGTAGTTGTATATTGCATAAATTGATATAAATATAAATGCTTAGCAATGAGCCAGTGTAAATTTGATATAAAAACTTGAACCAAGTCATCTCAAATTACTAACTAAACATGGAGCTGAACTGAAGAATGTACACATTACAAACTATAGCGGCCAAACACTATTTCTTAAGCATGTCAGCATGCATATGAAAAAAACAAACTTAAACCCACTTTACAAGAGAATTGATTTGATTCATTCCTTTATGGTAAATGTACACACACAAATCTGAATGATGTTAAAAAGTCTCTGTCATGGGTCTGTAAATTTTATACTTGAAATCCTTACTAACAATCAGAAACTTATCTCCATTAATTTGTGATCATTTGGTTGATTAAATATTAACATCAGGCTCATGGTTTTTGGCCTAAGTTAAAAATAAAATTGCTTGAAAATGAATTCCAGTAAAGTTGAAGTGAAACAAACAACAGATCATGGCACTATTGAGATGATAGTCACAAAATATTTTTTTTTTTTTACAGAGTACAGCTGCAATATTCAGACAGCCAATAAATAAATAGTACATATACATTCTATAGGTCATGGCTTGTCACCAACACAGAAGAGTTAGACTCAGACAAAAACAACACAACAATGGGAAACAAAATAAGTTTCTGAAGTGAAAGCTCAACTTTTTTTTTTGGTCCAAAATAAGAACAATGTTTTCATCCCAATCATTTCAACACATCCTTTGACTTACATATAGATTTAGTCAAGTCCTCTGCAAAAAGTTCAGAAAGAAGTTTTAGAAAAATGTATCCTATTTCTGTTCAGTCTTAGAGTGTATGCAGTATGAAACTATGTATAGGATAGATAAGAAGAAAGTTGCAATATATAGAAATAAATATGTAATCTACAGGTCTAAGTTTTTCTTTTTGATGGTAAAAATTTGGTTGACAAAATAGTGAGCATGGCACTATTAGAAATGAATAAGAAAATTCAGATACTAAGTAGTGTATTAATTGCTACATTTCAATTTTGAATTTATCAAGGGTAGAAATAAAATTGGTTTGGTGTGCAGTTTTGCCTTTCACATAACTCCAAAACCAAACATATATGAATTAAAAATCATTGATTTACTAATAGAAATAATATTGATCCTTTTCTCAAAATTGATATCTTGGTGATTTATTGAAACTGTCTTGAAATAGAGCACACTATGATACATGAAAAGCTAAGACAGAAATTCAGGATGATAATCTTAATACATTCAGGTTTTGATGGAACCACCAGCAGTCTGATTACTGGCCATACCACAGGTTGCACTTGAATATAAATAGAATATTTGTTAATATTACAATGTTGGATTCATTCTTTGATATTTTTGAAAGTTAAAAAAATAAATTTTAATTTCAACTTTAAAAACATAAATAATCATAAAATCTGGCTGAATGGTCCAATAAGATGAGATGGACTTTCTCTCCAATTTTGAATATTTAAGAATTGGGAAAAAATTTGGCACATTAGGCAGAAATGAAAAAAAAAAAGAAGAATAGCAGATCATCTCTGATTTAGCAAAGTTAGAAAATATACATACTTGCCAGGTTGATCAGCACAGAAATTCTGAACCAAATGACAAGGATGCCAATATAAAAGAAGGCAGAATCCAATAGCACAAAACTAGATTTGGTTTCACCAACAAGAAAAGTACACATTCATACATAGACGTTTGTTTTTTTATCCACAAGCATATGTCATAAGACTTTTGAAGTTCATATGTTAAGGCCATTAAATCATGACAGACTAAGGCAAATAAATAAGAACACAAAGTCAGTTTTTTTTCTAGATTTAGATCCTGTTTCTAAGTAAAGATGTCTCTAAATTAAAAAATAAACCTAAAAACAAAATTTCACAGCAATTAAAATACAAATGATTCTTGCAAAAACTATATTTATTCTAGTACTATAAGAATGCTAAACAGATTTGGAGTGTGTCACATCTTTTTAAGTTCTATCACTCCAGTGTTCTGAATAGATATAAAAAAATTACCATAAATTATATTTTATACAATAATATTACAAGAAAACACACATATACACATATGTACAGGTTAAATAAGAAAACAAAATGTAAGGCATTTTATTTTTTGTTAATTTTCTAATATTTTGTAGCACTACATTTGTTTGGTAAAATTAAAAAGTCCATCTAGTATGCCACTAAAGTTGTCAAAGCATTAAACACTTTTGAATCTTGCTAGACTTAAACAGCATTTACAAAGACAAGTCATTTGCATGGTTTCTTAATGTTTATTTTTGTGTGTGCTTTCAAATAGTTATTATGCTCAATAAACTTTCTCCAGAGCCAGTGTTTGGCCTACTGACTACTGGAGTATCATGATTCCATTATGTCCAGGCGATTTCCTTTCCTAGCAATTTTCACACTTCCGTTGACGAATTCTCCTTGGGATTTCTTGAAAGACACTTCCACTGTTGAGCCTCTAAAGTCAGCATTAATCCTGAAAAGTAACAGAATAAACCATTACCTAACATATCCTTTCTAAATAATAAGAAAAAGAGCAGCCTACTTCTTGGGAGATATATATGTCTTATATATCGTCATAGAAAAAAATATATATAGTCTTACAAGATGTCTTTTTAAAACTTACTAAAAATCATTTTTAAACATTTTCTAACTGCAATAAAAAGAGTAAAGGAAGTTAACATTTTCTAAACCCACCCCTAAGAACTTTTTATTTCTTATTTGGTTGACACTTTAAACCTAGAATTTGAACAAAAATATCCATGAAATCCAACATGACTATCTGCCTCCTGTCACATAAACTACAACACACTCAGACAAAACTAAACAAGCTCACAAAAGAAGCTGAGAAGACTGGCTTGAAAATCAATAACCCAGAAAACTGAGGTGATAAGAATTAATAACACCCAAGAAACACCATTGGGGCACAGTGGCTGAGTGGTTTAAGTGCTAGGCTTTGGAAACTGGGGTCCTGAGTTCAAATCTTGGTAAAGACTGGGATTTTAAATTTAGGGATTTTTATGGTGCCACTGAGACCACCAAACTCTAATGGGTACCTGACTTAGTCAGTTTGTCAGCTTTCCATTGGAGCAAATGCAGAGGTCAAGAATCAAATCAACAAGGCTAGAGCATGCTTTTTACACTCTATGGCTGATCTGGCAGTCAAAACCAATGTGTCTAAAAAAAAATCTGCATCTTCAACACAAATGTGAAGAGCAATTCTTTTATATGGTGAATAGACATAGAAAGTAAGAAACAGTAGCACTGACAAGCTCCAAGAATTCACTAACAAATGTGTGCATCACATAATTGTTGTCAGATGGCTGAACAAAATTTCAAACAATAGTCTGATGTAGCAAGAAATAAAAAAAAAGGCAAATGGGGTAACAAACTTACTGAGGTAAAATTTGAACCTCTGGTGGCTTGCAAACTTTCTTCATCTCCAACAGTGTTTTGGTAACAGCTTCTATCACATGTGCTGTGCTGAAGATGAAATCTCCTTTCTTGGAGGCTATTTCTCCATTCTCCTATTGAAAGACAACATTAAATATTAGCGTCTCTTTGACATATTTTAATACTGAAAAATGGAAACACCAGAAAGAAAAAAAACTTTATTTAATCTCAAAATTCAAAAAAATTTATTTCACTGATATTGTGGTTTCTAACTTGAGCTTTTATGTTCATTTTTATTAAAAAATATTTATTCACAATTCCACAAACAAAATTTATGTTATTGCCTATGGTAGGGTAAAAAAATTTATTTTTAAGTAATTTTGGCAATCCAAATTGACACTTTGTTAGTACAAGGGCCAAAGCAACCACATGAACAAGAAAACAAAAAGGCTATTGCTTCATTGGTTTCTGGCTTATCCATTATGGTCAACTGTACACAATTCAATATGCAATACAAATTTGAATCCACACAAGAAATGACAACATGCTTGATTCAATATATACATCAAAACATGCAATACAAAGTCAGATAAAATACTGAGCCTATCAATCAAGTGATTTAAGACACAGACACAAAGAAACAGACACATACACAGAGAAACACACACAAAGACATATTATTTTAAATTTATTATACAATTTAAGTGAGTAAATGACAACATAAAATTACATCTTGTTAAGTGACTGAACTCGTGAAAACACTGCAAACATAAAGCATGCTGAAAGGTGAAAGCCAGAGTATTTTGTCCTGACATTCTAACTACAGCTTCACAAAAATTGTCACTTGTTTCATTTGGTAATATTTTAATAACTAGTTTATATTTTATTCTAAAGGTTGAAGTATAAACACACAGAAAACTTAGTTTCAATAATCTTTGAAAACTTTGATGTTACTAGGCTATGAAAAGCAAAAGCTTTTAAAATAAATAATAATGCTAAATTTTAATTAATTATTATTTTTTATTTAAACAAATAGGAAAATATCCAAACTAAAAAATTATAAATGTTCCGGTCAACTCTCAGAATGTGCGAATAGTTCCGTTAAAGAAAAAGTTTGGGAAACACTGCCGTAGAGTATGTATGCTTATAGGGTGTAGGATGTAAGTAGGATGTAATCTCTAGACTATGTATGCTTATAATGTATGTATTAATTTTATTATGCAACGTGAAGACATAAAGCTATGTCCATAGTAAAGAATACTCAAATTGAAACTCTGATATCCCAGTCTTCTAGTATCTTCACTGGTTCATGTACAGAAAAGTTCATAGTTAAATTTAATGTCTTGTTATGAATACACCTTAAGTAGATTAATATCTACTATTTAATTCTTTATTATAAACACACTTAAGGTAGATTAATATAAACTGTTTAATGCCTGTTGAGACCACAAGTCTGAAAAAAAAATTAATGGCTTTCAGAGTTTCACATACAGGCTTATTGTAAATTTAAAACATTCCTTATTAAACAATAATAAAATAATTAGTATTGTTATGAAGCTCCATGATCATAGCATGCACATATTAATTGCAAGCAATGCCAGCATTTTAACCATCTCATGTCTTGTCAACAATACAAATATTATTTTCTTGCCCAATTATAACATTGGTAAGTCTTCAGCAAATTAAAAAAAAAAACTAAAAAAACATGTAAACTAAATTCACACCAAAAATAATGAATTCAAATCCAATGTAAAACCAAAGGAGGCAACGATGAATGTAAAAGCCTGTTGAAAACTCACACGTCCTCCATCCTCCTCCTCCTCATCCTCCCCTTCTTCCTCTTCATCCTCCTTTGGCAGTTAGTGAGTTTAGTGGTTTATATAAGAGCAAAAGTTTTTTGTTACATGATTAGATTACAAGGGTTCTCAAAGCAAACATATAATAATACAGAAGGTTAAGAAGGAGAAAAGACTAAAATATGTATAAAATGTTTCACTTAATAGTTTATTAATGAGCATGCCACACATGAAATAATTCAATATTTCATGACCTATTTTGTAAACATAACAAGAGAATAGAAAGATAAAGTGTATGATACACATTTTAAAACTTCTACCCAAGCTGGAGCTAAAAGATGAACTGGTCAAGTCAAAGAGATTGAGTGTGGACTGAGAAGTAAGTTTTCACATTCCTAAGAGAGTCATTAAAAGTTTTCACAGGTGTGACAGAAGTAAAATTTCAACTGCCCACCAATGAATTGTTAATGTTTGAAATAAGATGTTTGACTTAACAATCAATCCAATCTTTGCTTAACACCATTAACTTATTGAAAAGTATTATTGTCCATTGTAATACAAGTTATATATGGTATTGTCAATGTTGTTTCACAACTATGTCTACTGACACAATGATGTGCTTATGTCTAATAAAGAGCTGTCAACTTGTGCCATGAATAAGAAAGCATGTCAAATCAAGTAATTTAAAATCCTGAACAAGAAAAAGACTAAGCCTGCTTTATTGATACTAACTGGAAATTAAAATACTTTGCTTAAGAAATGAAAGGTAATTTTGAAATTAAGAGCATTCAGACTGAAAAAAAAAAACATTCAAATTTGCAACTGAAACATTTATTCTATTACTGGTTTGGTTATTTCCTCAGTAGTAAAGTTGAAATTCTTTTAAATAAAATATTTTCTTGATAATATTACTACATAAAAATAAAATTTTCCTGAAAAATGTTTTAAAAATTTGGCTAAATTTTGTTAACACAGGCTGCAACACTGACACAGTAGAAACAGATTGTTTGATAGCTAGTGAAAGCTCAACTGATAGATTACCAGTAAAGGAGACAACAATTAGTTCACTTGAAATAGACAGACATGAAAAACTCTCTGTCACAAAGAAATATTGAAATATGAACATTTACCAAAATTATTTCAGTCTGTTAGAAAAAAAAATGCAGATTTCTTTTACTAAGTATATCATGCACACATACAAATTAATTTTCATTAATGAGATCATTTTAAAAAAATAACAAGACATTTTAATTACTAATGCTGTTAATGCACCTATG